ATACAGAACGTGGAATAAACGCATCAAAACAAACCATTGGGAGCTCTTATACAACACCTGAGTTGATCAAACGTTGAATAATAGCTTCCAGAGTTGTACAAGAATGTAGTTGTATTGCCATTTGGTTAAAAGCTTCAAAAGCTGCTTGGAGCACTCTTAAATGATTGTTTACGTACGACCAACCACCAACCACAATTTTGTTGCTAAAAATAGCACAAGTGTTAGGCACGTTTATATGACCATAAGGCAATGATTATTCGACTGCAAGAGAAGTCACTCAAGATGAGCTTCATATACTTCTCTCATATGATCTAAATATGTATTCAAGAATAGAGCAGATGGAAACAGAAGCGGCTGGCAATCCGGGATCATGAGTTCGAATCTTGCTTCGAGAAACCCTTGGTGGAGTAGAGGTAAATTATATACAGGTGTTATATCAATAAATGCAAACATTAATTTAAGACATATATCATATAATCAACGATAACATTTCTAGATAAATTCTCTCAATTAATGATTAGAGAGATTAATTGAAAGAATATCAATCAAAGATTAAACAGATGCTTGTTACTACTTCCTCCATGATCACAGAATGTGAATTATGGCATAATTACATATTTTTTCAATGTGCACAAATAAATTAAATTAATAAAAACTGTACAAGCAATTATTTTGGCGTACCACGACAATTGTTAAACTAATTTTAATCTGTGAATATTGTGAGTACTTACACAACGGTTATTAAGGAGTCATTAAAAAGTGCTATAAACGCTTTTCACCGCTTGCTGTATAGTGATTATTTAGGAGTCATAAAAGAGTGTAATACCCCGTTCACATTATAGCGTATATCACGTGATATACGCTGTCTTGCAATGAGCACTCATACATCTAGTTTTCACTGGAAATCCTATGTATGGGTGCTCATTGCAAGACAGTCTATATTACGTGATATAGGCTGTAATGTGAACGGGGTATAACAAACGCCTCTCAGGTTCAATCTCTAATACATTTCGAAGCAGCTGTTAGGAGGTGTCTACAAACGTTGTATTAGAGCTTTCACCAAAACAATAAAGCTTGAGTTTAAATATGTATCTATAAACGTTGTATAAAAGTTACTTCTATCCGGTTGTTAAGGAGTCATTGAAAAGTGCTATAAACGCTTTTCACCGCTTGCTGTACAATGATTATTTAGGAGTCATAAAAGAGTGTGACAAACGCCTCTCAGGTTTACTCTCTACTAAATTTCAAAGCAGCTGTCAGGAAGTGTCTACAAACGTTGTATAAGAGCTTTCACCAAAACAATAAAGCTTGACTTTAAATATGTATCTATAACGTTGTATAAAAGTTACTTCTATCCGGTTGTTAAGGAGTCATTGAAAAGTGCTATAAACGCTTTTCACCGCTTGCTGTACAATGATTATTTAGGAGTCATAAAAGAGTGTGACAAACGCCTCTCAGGTTTACTCTCTACTAAATTTCAAAGCAGCTGTCAGGAAGTGTCTACAAACGTTGTATAAGAGCTTTCACCAAAACAATAAAGCTTGACTTTAAATATGTATCTATAAACGTTGTATAAAAGTTGCTTCTATCCGGTTGTTAAGGAGTCATTGAAAAGTGCTATAAACGCTTTTCACCGCTTGCTGTACAATGATTATTTAGGAGTCATAAAAGAGTGCAACAAACGCCTCTCAGGTTTACTCTCTACTAAATTTTAAAGCAGCTGTCAAGAAGTGTCTACAAACGTTGTATAAGAGCTTTCACCAAAATAATAAAGCTTGAGTTTAAATATGTATCTATAGTTGAACAGGTTCTCCAAACCAGTGTAAACAAGAGTTTTACAGAAGTTGTAATAAACAAATTGTACAGTTATTATTCAGCATGCAGTTGAATAAAATCACAATGGAAGCGTTTCTTCAACAAGAAATTGATTTAGGGGAAAAGGTTTTACTGAATACGTTAGACAACACCTTTGTGTTGCAGTTGTATAGGTTCTCCAAACCAGTGTAAACAAGGGTTTTATAAAAGTTGTGGTGAACACATTGTGCAATTATTATTCAACATGCAGCTGAACAAAATCAAAACGAAAGCGTTTCTTCAACTGGAAATTGTTACTTGGGTATTACATGATATAAGCCATAGTCTGTACGGGGTATTAGCAACCGGTGGAAACTAACGATTTTAAATTGGCTCACTGCTTGACTAGCCTATTGGTCCGAAGCAAATCGATTAACGTACACCATTCTAGTCAAAATTCTAGTACTACACAATGTTTGTTTTGATTCTCTATGAAAGTTTGACAGATAAAATGAGGGGTTAGTGGATTTTCCTATGTTTCGACGTATGGCGTATGGCGTACCAGAGCTCAGCCAAAAAGTTGAGCTCGTTTCTTCGGGACCTTCTAGTCTTAGAGTTATTATCTGTTTCTTTGGTAACAAAACACGCCGAAAACGACGCAGAAATCGTCGCCATAGGAATTTGTATGGCGATGATTTCTGCGTCGTTTTCGGCGTGTTTTGTTACCAAAGAAACAGATAATACCTCTATGCTAACACCATAAAATACATCTTACATGATTGTTCTTTATAAATTATTGAAACAATTTTCAACGATGTTATGTTATCGTACACTCATTAAAATGATTAGTCGAACTAAATATTGCTAACAACAATGATACTGTATTGTATAATCTTTGTTTGATATTGTTTCATAAGATAAGGGGTTCCGGAAAATAATGTATCGAGATTGAAAAAAAAATGGATTCCGTCTCGCACGCTGAGCCGGTCAAGTCGCATCGGTCTCGTTGTACGACACTAGTATTTGAGTTTTTGAGTTTTTCCCCACGCGTACTATTTTTAAGTAGCCATATTTGATCCAATTTTTTTTTCAGTATATATATTTTTTTCTATTTTTTTTTTTTTGGTTTTTTCTTCTTTCTTTCGTATTACTCTTTAGTAGAGTAAAACTATTTCATTTTTTTTTTGTTTTTTTTTGCATTTTTTTCTATTTTTGATATTATTTGAAATTACTGTAATTATTTGTAAAATATTTACCAAAAACATCATTGCGGCAATATTTAACCGCAATGGATGAAAATGATAAAGGCGGGGGATGGTCGCTTTCCATCTCAGACGACGAAACTCTTAATTCCACCTCACATGAAAGTCTCGAGGAAGTTGTGGAAATGGAAACCCTTGACGTTGATTCGCTCTCCAGCAAAAATACTGGAGCATATCCCAAGAAAAGGTATCGCCCACAACCCTCTCCCCCACCATCTCCTCCTCGTCCACCTGCACCCCCCCCCCCCACACCATTCCCCCCGAAAACCTCTGCGCTCCCCCGCGTAAAGGCTTACCCAGAAGCCTCGAAAGGCCCATGGGTTGTTTTTTCCGGCCCAAACAAAAACCTTTGAACATTCCGAGGATCTCTAAGGATCTAACAACACATTTTTCGGCCGTTACCGATATTTTCAAGGTAACTCCAATAAAACTGCGCGATACCGTTGATGACCGGAAGCAGGCTAACCAAATTGTTGAGTGCGAGCTTTTTCATTGGAATACCGAGTCTACATACCCAGTAGTGAGGTAGAAATTGAAGGAGTGGTCGCCGAAGCGAGTTTGACTAGTGATGATTTCATGGGTCCCGATTCCTTCGGAATCTTTAAAAACCGTGCTCTGCCGAAGGTGAAGATATTGGACTGCCTTCAAATGCAGTCAGTATCCGTAGTAGGCTCCAAAAAAACTTATTCCTTGTCAAACTCGTTTCGTGTGACCTTTTCAGGTTCAGCGTTACCTCACTACGTCGCTATTGGCAAGGTTCGGCTGCCTGTACGTCTGTTTGTACCTCGGGTAATGAACTGCTCGAAATGTAAACAACTTGGTCACACATCGGACTACTGCTCGAACAAACCACGCTGCGATCTGTGTGGCGAGCAACATCAAGAGGGCCCTTGCGGTGCTCCTCCAAAATGCGTGTACTGCAAGGAGAGCCTGCATACCCTGACTGACTGCCCGAGGTATAAACAGCAGGGAGACAAAATTAAGCGGTCTCTGCAAGCTCGCTCCAAGAGAACTATTGCAGAACTCTTGAAGAATACCGCTCCATCTTCTCAGACCACACCAAAAAGCATTAACACGTTCTCCATTTTGCCAGTTGATGATCTAGACTCTGACTCAGAGGTTGGTGAGGGTAGCCCGTTTGTCTTTAAAGGCAATACGAGAAAACGAGCAAAAAACACACCACCGAAAAGCCTCGTAAGGCTACTCGTACGGACCACCCTTCCACCTTGGAAAAATCAAGAGGTAACGGAAATGCACCGAAGCCCATTCCACTGGGTTTTCAAGCTTGTAATTATGACAAGAACTTTTCGTCACTTCCAGGATCATCTAAAACCCCAGATGTCCCAGTTTTTCGGCCAGAAAAGCAGCTGAATAATCAGCAAGAACATGCCCCCATGTTCACGTTTTCTGGTATTGTGGATAGCACATAAAATTGGGATGATATCCCGAATTAGTGGTTAGGCGCATCTTATGGTTATTGTTTATGCGGGGTAGCACTTACCAGATTTAAATAAAATGCTCCATTCACAAAATAAAAGCATTTTAAGATTGCTTCCCCGTGGAAAATTTTGAAACCATCATCACTTTCATAGTTCTTCTATTCTCCACGCGTGCCAACTTTGATTTGCCAATAAACATTTATATTTTTGTTTTAAATGAACAAAATTTGTATCCGTGCACGCTACAGGTGGTGGTACTACCAACTACGATACTTTTAAATTGACCGTTAAATGCTTGTTCGATGAACAACTTGCGAGTGTTATGTCTGTTTGTCTGTGGTTTGATCATCTCTTTTGAGAAGTAGATATTTGGGTTAATTTCTCTATATTTTGGGTAATTTTATTTGCTCATGTACTCAGTTGACTGCAAAACAAAAAACTAGATCAAACCACACGCACCAAACCGATGGGCAACGAGCGCCATCTTTTGTTTGGCATTTTTGACAAGAAGTGCGTGAAAACTTTTGTGATCGGTCGAGAGTGTTATTTCGTGTGATTAGTTTTCCAATTTTGTGGCGTTTTTATTTATTTTACCATCCACTAGTTTAATCTTGGTGCCCCAGAAATGTTTTAGCATTCTGGAACTAGTCGAACTAAACAAAAATATTCCCCGGCGGAGAATAGATAGTGCAGAAAATAGGCTCCGGCATTTGGCATTCGAAATCAGTGTTCAACATTTTGGGCGGAAGTTTGAAAATGTCGGAGGAAGCTAACAGCATCGACGAATTAGCGAAGGAACCTTGTTCTCCGGAACAAAATGAGTCGGACTCACCAGACGATGATGATCTTGATGTGCCAGATCCGGAATGTAAGAAAAAAGAAGCGACTGAAGAAAGCCAAGTCGAGTGTACCGGGGAGGAAGAGGCCTCATTGGATGGCGAGGAAAAGAATATGATAACAGAAAATAGTCCAGAGGAATGCCCTGCCGATGGTCAATCCATAGAACTTCATGCTAAAGAGGAAAATGATTGCGCTAACAAGGATAAGAAAAACGACGAATTGTATGATAAATTAAGTAGCAGCAGTCCAGAGCCGGGTGAACTGCCGGATGATGATGACCTAACTGGAGAAAACACCAAGAATATTAAAAAGGAAACCCGGAATGGAAGTGATACGGAAAACCATTTCGAGGAAGTGAAACTTGTCAAGACACGCAATACAACAGAGGACGACATACCGAAAATCAAGAAAGAACAGAACGATTCGGAACGGGTTAAACGGGAAGCCAACTCTGTGGATGACAGCTGGGAAGAAGAAACCAAAAGTCCTAATGTGAAACAAGAATTTTATTCCGATTTGGAGGATGATATTCCTCCAAAAACTCCCGAATTAAAACCGCTCGATAAAGAACCCGAACCGTCGAAGAAGCTAGCAAGTATTTTTGAGAAAAAAATAAAAAAGGAAGACGGCAGTTCCGAGGGAATATTGCAAGAAAAGCTGAAGCAGTACTTCGGTCACAATGATTTCAAGAGCGCATTGCAGAAGGAAGCGATACAAACTATTATAACAAGTGAGTGGCTATTTTAGCAATACACAATTTTTGACTTTGAAGTATTTCACAATTTGTAATAATGGCAAACCAGATTCTCTGATCACGTCCAAACCTTCACAATTATCCGGGAAGTCTAAGAAGAATATAAATAGGGTTTGAGATTTTTAAGTGCTGAGTATAAGCTAATTAAAAACATTGAAAAGTTGTTACCAAAATCGGAATCATAACAAATAAATTTACAAAAATATTTGTTATTAAAAACATTTCCCATTTTCCCCTTTCAGGAACCCGAGATGTGTACGTTTCGATGCCAACCGGTTCCGGTAAATCGCTGTGCTTCCAGTTGCCCGGCGTCATGCAAGATAACAAGGTTACCATCGTCTTTTCGCCCCTGTTGGCCCTGATCAAGGATCAACTGGATACGTTGGCCAAGCTTAAAATCCCAGCCGATTCTATCAATTCCAAAATGAGCAACAAAGATCGCGATCGCGTCCTGAACGATCTGAAAAGCATCCGCACGGATATACGCTTCCTGTACATCACACCTGAACAGGCCAACACATCCACCTTTAAGGAGCTTATGAAGATGCTAGTCAAGAACAAGAAGGTCGCGTACGTCGTCGTCGACGAAGCACATTGTGTCAGCGATTGGGGTCACGACTTCCGGCCGGACTATCTCAAACTTGGTCACTTGCGGTCCGAATACCCTTCGATTCCGTGGATAGCACTAACCGCAACCGCTTCCAAGAAAGTTGTCGTAGATATATTTAAAAATCTACGTCTAAAAGAGCCCATTGCAAAATTTAAAACACCTTGTTTCCGGAAAAATCTCTACTACGATGTTGTGTTTAAAAACTCCATACAGGATGACTACATCCATCTGCGGGATTACATTGAAAGTATTTTACATAAAGACGATGCGGATGTCAAGCCGGTATTGAATAAAGCCTTATAAAGATTTGTTTCCATTGCTATAATTTAATTTGTTTTCACATTTCAGACTAAGAAAGCATGCGGTATCATCTATTGCAGAACGCGTGAGACAACCGAACGGGTTGCAAGCAGTTTATCCAAACTAGGACTGAAGACTGCTGCTTACCACGCTGGGTTGAAACAATCGGAGCGAGTTGCTGTGCAGGAGGACTGGATGAATGGAAAATATGCAGCAATTTCCGCCACCATAAGCTTTGGCATGGGTGTAGATAAAGGCTCGGTGCGTTTTGTCATTCACTGGGACATTCCCCAGAGTGTGGCATCCTACTATCAGGAATCGGGTCGAGCAGGTCGCGATGGAAAGAAATCTTACTGCCGCGTGTATCATTGTCGGGATCAGTGCAAGTCGATCGACTTTCTCCTACAACAGGATTTGCAGAAAGGCAAGGGCACTTCCAAGGAGGATAAGGCCAAGCTAGCTGTGAAGAATTTCGAAAAAATCGTCCAATATTGCGAAGCAGCCTATTGTCGACATAGGCTCTTTTCAGACTTTTTTGGCGATGATCCACCGAACTGCAACAACATGTGCGATGTATGCGCGAATCCAAAAAAGGTAGAAAAAGCTATCGAAACATTTCAAAAGTTGTCAGTGTCTGGAAAGCTAAAAACGATAATCGGTTTCGATGACGATTGTTCCGATTTATACGAAGGCGGCCGCAAAGGCGCTGAAGATGCTTACGAGGAAGAGGAAGGGAACGATAGCGACTCCCTACGAGATAAGCGTGCAAAAAGAGAGACGGAATTACTGCTTCAAAAACAATTCGCCCTGAGAAAAGCATCTGCTGCAAAAGAATTGGATATGCACAAATCGGTCTCCATTAGTCGAGTCAAATTTGCCCTCCAGACCACGGTTAAGGTTAACGGACTAACGATTTCTTCCCGAGAAAGCAATCTCACCATGTTGGCTGATCTACTTAAGAAGAATGTTGAAGCATGCAAAGAGTCCGACCCACCAGAGCATGAACTGGTTTATAAGGACTTCGAGGATATAGCAGTAGAAATGGAATATGAATCATTTACCAGCAACACTGTAGGCAGTCTCTACAGGAGGTCGATTGTGAAACATGTAAGTACGATTTGCAATGTTCGCTCTAACTGGTTTCTTTAGGGATATTAGGGTGATTGTAAATTGAACCAAAACTTAAGATTTCATCAATTTTGGACCATTGGAACTATTTTAAATAAATGCGAGGACCCTTGGCACCAGTGGTACTTTGAACACAGACAAACCGACAAACCGACATGACGCTTAATTCTGAATTATGCCCGAAAATCGTAAACGGCCGATTTAAATGTTCAGTGATCCGAACTGTCAAAACCATAGGATTTTTTGATCTAGATAAAAATAATTTGTCCAAAATATATCAGACACGAACCAATTCATAACTTTTGCATGCTGGTTCATGGCTTAGCTAAATATTTCCCGCAAACACGGAGTCAGATGTCAGTAGTGTGCTTTGGTCAGAAACTTTATTGTTTTTGCTATGGTCATTCATGTCGGTTTTTCGGTGCTTTGAATGGGAGCGAGCGTAAATTTGTTAATTTTGTGTCCAAAAACGAAGTGATTATTTTGCTGTGTCTCTATCGACGAAATCCATTTCCCATACAATTTGTTTTCTTCTTCTTCTTCTTCGCATTTCAAGCTTATTGCGTGCTCTCAACTTAGTGTTCTATAGATGCACTTCCACAGTTATTAATTGAGAGCTTTCGATGTCTGTACCATTTTTGCATTGGTATAATTGTGTGGCAAAAGTCCAATAATACCTTCTATGCCCAGGGAAGTCGAGAAATTTTCCAACCCGAAAAATTCCTAGCCCGGACCGGGAATTGAACCCATGTGTGTGTGTGTTTTTTTTTTTTTTTTTTTTTTTTTTTTTTTTTTTTTTTTTTTTTTTTTTGGCAAGGAGGAAACCTTCAAAAAGGCCATCGTGCCACCGCTTGACGACTGGGCGCACAGTCGCGGTGACACGGTGTGTGGGATTCTTACCGCACTAAAACCTCCTTAGACGCCTTGCCCTTTTTCCTCCGGAACCACTTGTCGTATTACTTCGGAGGGGGCCGTGCATTACGCACCTCACTTTACCTCAGCTAATTGGCGCTTCCAGTTCGCTGATCGTCTCTCCAATTTGTGAGCCATTTATCTCCCAGCGTCACGTTCTACTCGGTTATCCCTGGTGGTAGATACAGCCAACTCTGACGGAGAGTTCTCCTGGCTTCGGCTTTCAGTTCGCACTTGTGTGAGCACATTACTACTTTCTAGTTGGTCTTCCCGCCATTTTCGCTGCAGCGCTGACATGATCTGCGTTACTGCTCTGCTGACGGCGTTAAAGGTGCCCTCCTCTCGACACATTTCTTCGACGACATTCTCCGTGCTAAGGGCGACCATATCCTCTCGCACATCATCAAATCTAGGACATTCGAAGACCACGTGCTCTGGTGATTCTTCCACATTCCCACACTCCGGACAGAAGAGTGACGTTGTGTGTCCGAACCGATGCAGGTACTTCCTGAAGCAGCCATGACCAGACAGGAACTGCGTCAAGTGGAAGTTGACTTCTCCATGCTTCCTGTTCACCCAGGTCGAAAGAGTCGGTATTAGCCTGTGTGTCCATCTACCGTTCTCTGCTGCATCCCACTCCTGCTGCCACTTAGCCATCGACTCCGTTCTCACCATTTTTCGTACTCCTCTGGTTTCTCTCGTCATATAGCACTCGTAGTCCTCCGCCAAGGTGATGCCGATTGGGATCATACCGGCGATAACGCATACTGCCTCCATCGAAATGGTTCTGTACGCACTCACGACTCGCATGGCCATGAGCCGGAACGTACTGCTCAATTTTCTTTGGTTCTGCTTCGTTTTCAGCGCTTCAATCCAGGCTGGACCTCCGTACCTTAGTATTGATGAGGAAACACTAGCCAGAAGACGTCTCTTGCTGCTGCTTGGACCAGAATTGTTCGGCATGATTCTGGCTATTGCGTTGATGACCTTCGTCGCCTTCTCGCAAGCATATTCGATGTGGCTATTAAAGTTTAGCCGGTCGTCGATCATCACTCCCAGATACTTAAGCATGCGCTTCGAAGCAATGGTGTGCTCTCCAACGGTAATTTCTGCACGCTGCACTGCTTTGCAGTTACTGACCAACATCACTTCTGTTTTGTGGTGGGCTATCTGCAGCTTCGCTCCTTGCATCCAGTTACCAATCGTATCTATCGCCTCGGCCGCCAACATTTCCACTTCTTCCAGCGTCTCACCGGTTACCGTCAAGACGACATCGTCCGCAAAGCCAACGATCTCAACTCCTTTGGGCAGCTTGAGCGTCAGCACGCCATTGTACATTCCGTTCCACAGCGTGGGACCTAGAATGGAGCCTTGGGGAACCCCCGCCGTGATTCTAAGCGATTTCTGCCCCGTGTCTGTCACGTAGACAAGGACCCGGTTCTGGAAATAACTACTTAGAATCCTGCAGAGGTAGCCTGGAACCCTCATTCTATGGAGCGCCTTGGCGATGGCCTCCCAGCTGGCGCTATTGAATGCATTCTTGACATCGATCGTAATCACGGCGCAGTATCGATTTCCTCTCCGCTTCTGTTTGGAAGCTTTCTCGGCTCTGTCAATCACTGTCCGAATTGCATCCACCGTCGATCTCCCTTTCCGGAATCCAAACTGTCTCTCCGACAGTCCGTGTTCACTCTCCGTGCATTTCGTCAGCCTGTTGAGGATGATCCTCTCTAAGAGCTTTCCTACAGTATCCAGCAAGCATATTGGCCTATACGATGCAGGATCCTCCGGCGGTTTTCCGGGCTTCGGCAACAGCACAAGCTTTTGTACCTTCCACCTATCAGGGAACTGACCATCGTCCAGACATTTCTGCAGCACCATCCTGAACATGTCCGGGAACGTCTGGATCGCCGCCTTCAACGCCACGTTGGGAATTCCATCCGGGCCGGGAGCTTTATTCGCTCTCAACCCTTTCGCTGCTGCTATGAGTTCCTCGTTGGAGACTTGTTCAACGTTGTCTTCATCTACCTCGCCATATGGTGTAGGTGGCCAGTTCGTTGGGTCATGCTGTGGGAAAAGTCCCTCCACGATGACTTTCAGCTTGTTGTGACACATTTCAACCGGCATCGTTGGGCCTCTGATCTTCGCCATCGCAACTCGGTATGCGTTGCCCCAGGGGTTGGCATCGGCATCGCGGCACAACTCCTTGAAACTATTTGACTTGCTCAGCTTTATCTTTCGTTTCAGTGCAGCCCTGGCCTCTCGGAACACCACCCTGCGCTCCTCTCTGTCTGCTTCTGTTCTTGCTCTCTGAGCACGCCTTCTGGCTAGAAGACAAGTAGCACGGAGGGTGCTAATTTCCTCGTTCCACCAGTAGGCTGGACGCCGCCTGTTCGTTGGCTCCAGTTTTCTCGGCATAGTTGTGTCACATGCCCTTGCTAATAATTCGGTCAACTCATTCGCGCTTAGGCCCGGGACGCTGTTGTCTACCCTTAGAGCTTCGATGAAGAGATCCTTATTGAATGCCTTCGTCTTCCACTTCCGCTCGCTTACTTTCGTCCTCCGCATTTCCACCGGTGTTCGTTCGCCGATACTGTACCGGATCGCCTGATGGTCACTATGGGTGTACTCCTCGCACACTGTCCAGTTCATATTTGCCATTAGCGACGTACTGCAGAAAGTAACGTCGATAATGGATTCCCTACCATCTTTGCGGAAGGTGCTGATGGTTCCTTCGTTGGCCAGACTGACGTTCAACTTTGCCAGAGCATGTGTGTGTGTGTGTGTGTGTGTGTGTGTGTGTGTGTGTGTGTGTGTGTGTGTGTGTGTGTGTGTGTGTGTGTGTGTGTGTGTGTGTGTGTGTGTGTGTGTGTGTGTGTGTGTTTTTTTTTTTTTTTTTTTTTTTGCAAGGAGGAAACCTTCAAAAAGGCCATCGTGCCACCGCTTGACGACTGGGCGCACAGTCGCGGTGACACGGTGTGTGGGATTCTTACCGCTCTAAAACCTCCTTAGACGCCTTGCCCTTTTCCCCCGGAACCACTTGTCGTATTACTTCGGAGGGGGCCGTGCATTACGCACCTCACTTTACCTCAGCTAATTGGCGCTTCCAGTTCGCTGATCGTCTCTCCAATTTGTGAGCCATTTATCTCCCAGCGTCACGTTCTACTCGGTTATCCCTGGTGGTGGATACAGCCTACTCTGACGGAGAGTTCTCCCGGCTTCGGCTTTCAGTTCGCACTTGTGTGAGCACATTACTACTTTCTAGTTGGTCTTCCCGCCATTTTCGCTGCAGCGCTGACATGATCTGCGTTACTGCTCTGCTGACGGCGTTAAAGGTGCCCTCCTCTCGACACATTTCTTCGACGACATTCTCCGTGCTAAGGGCGAGCATATCCTCTCGCACATCATCAAATCTAGGACATTCGAAGACCACGTGCTCTGGTGATTCTTCCACATTCCCACACTCCGGACAGAAGGGTGACGTTGTGTGTCCGAACCGATGCAGGTACTTCCTGAAGCAGCCATGACCAGACAGGAACTGCGTCAAGTGGAAGTTGACTTCTCCATGCTTCCTGTTCACCCAGGTCGAAAGAGTCGGTATTAGCCTGTGTGTCCATCTACCGTTCTCTGCTGCATCCCACTCCTGCTGCCACTTAGCCATCGACTCCGTTCTCACCATTTTTCGTACTCCTCTGGTTTCTCTCGTCATATAGCACTCGTAGTCCTCCGCCAAGGTGATGCCGATTGGGATCATACCGGCAATAACGCATACTGCCTCCATCGAAATGGTTCTGTACGCACTCACGACTCGCATGGCCATGAGCCGGAACGTACTGCTCAATTTCCTTTGGTTCTGCTTCGTTTTCAGCGCTTCAATCCAGGCTGGACCTCCGTACCTTAGTATTGATGAGGAAACACTAGCCAGAAGACGTCTCTTGCTGCTGCTTGGACCAGAATTGTTCGGCATGATTCTGGCTATTGCGTTGATGACCTTCGTCGCCTTCTCGCAAGCATATTCGATGTGGCTATTAAAGTTTAGCCGGTCGTCGATCATCACTCCCAGATAC